CCATAAACGAACACTAAATGGCATAGAGTACGGATATTGAGCTTTTGTCCACTCTTGAGCAATGCGCGTATGGTTTCTGGGAGTTCGTCGTCAGCACACCGAGGTCCTTTTAGGCGTCGACGTCTCGTAATGCTGTACCGCCCAGAAGATAGTCTCTTGTGCTGGCTGATCTGGCTATTTTGTCTAGGCGAAGTATGTTACAATTACAAACGCTAAACCGCAGGAGCTAACGACTTGATCAATCATTCAACCGATTAAGGCTCATCTGCGGTCTGCCTTTGTTGGCAGGTTCCCGAATTTCAGTTTATTTCAGTTTATTTGGTAAGCGAAATAGGCAAAGCCTTTGAAAACCCTATTGATTACATGTCAGTTCGTTAGAAATAACTGTACACGAACAATGAAAATATTCGCTATTAAAACAGTACTTGATTCATTTGATTGGCATTGTCCCGTGGGCAAAAATTGCGGGATCGCGGGGTACTTAGTTCAGACTCAGACTTTCGAGGGAAAACAGGGGACACAAATAATTATACAAGCGTTTCTTTAAGAGTTGCAGAGGCGCAGCCTCCACGACTGACTGAGGGAGATCTTTCCATTTCTCCACTACCCTCTGCGTGAAAAATTCGGAACGAAGATTCAGCCTGGCCATTGTTAGATAGATAATTTTTTATTAAAGACCCGTCGGGGTCCCATCAAAGCAAGTTAAAATAAATCTACATGCGAGTTTTAGACGAGGTAGGCCGAATCTTTACAAAATGCAATTCATAGTTTCTGAATTATTAGTCCATTGAGAAACATGATAATTGAGGGGTGAAAAAAACTCCTTAAAAAAGTTAAAAATGATTGGATTATTTTTACAGGAGAAAAAAAACCCCTCAATAAAAATAATGACAGAAAAAAGCGAGCAGGACTGGCCTGTAGGTGGTGGTATATAACGGAATGTTGTAGGTCATCGACAGGGTAGCAATAAATCTCAGCCTTGAGGGTTACGAATGCGGGTCAGATAGGACTGGCTTGCATATGGCATTGTATACGGGATTCACAATTGAGATCGTCTGGGTCGGATTGATACGCCGCGTCAAAGAGGCCAGACGAGAGGAACCCAGATGCGATCGGCCACAGCAAGCTTCCAGCTCAGCCGAGCAGTGGGGAAGGGAGGCACGACCGAACTACTAGTAGACGGTGAATACTGAGGGTTCAGCCGTGAGCGCCGACAGACCGCATGAGGTCGGAATGCGGGAGGTGACATCAAAAACCGCGAAAATTGTCGCTATGGGGGAGGAGTGATAGCAGTGGATTTAGAAACCAATGCAAAACAGGGGTTTCTAATGATATAATTAAGAGTTACCACTAGATCTACCACTAAATCCCAGGAGGACCCTTCTCGAAGTCAAGAATCCGAGTGTTCGGGAATGAGACCGTTAACAGTGCCTTTATGCTTTCCGGTGTAAGATGTTTGCGCAATTTCGACTTGAATACCAGTAACTTAGGCGATAATCTAATTTCTGGCGGAAGATTATTCCAAAGGAAGGCATATTTGGAAGCAAAGAAGAGGGGGCGCTTAGATGTAGTACAAAGAGACGGCGGAATCACCATGTTGTCCGCAACTTCATCGAGTGACCACGAAGATTGGGTGAGAGGTGCCACTGAAACATGTCCTCAAATTTAATTCCATGCTCAAGGCCATGCATTATTTTGTAGACGAGGGTAAGATCACCTCTTTGCTGCCCGTAACACAGAGGGAATAAATTAAGGCAATTCAGTCTGTCTGTTTAGGATTGGCTTTTTAGACCGTTTACCAGATCTGTTGCACGACGTTGTACCCCTTCGAGGCATGCTTGGTCCTTTGCTAGTCATGGCTGCCATGCTTGTAGGCCATTTTCTAAGTGGGACCGAACAGTGGTGCGTAAACTTTCCCAAAAAGGTCTTGGTCAAACGTTACGAACGCTCTTTTGATTGCATGGAGCACTCCCCTGGCGTTGCTTGCGGTCTTGTGGCACTGCAGTGTTGGTTTCAGGTTGTTCTGTATCCAAACCCAGAGATCCTTCTGTGAAGATTCTGAGGGAGCCTTTATCTTTCAGGTGATATGTCCTCAGGCTCCCATTTGAATAAGTTTTGGTTGGACGCAGATGAAGGACGGCACACTTCTCCACATTGAAATCTAGAATACATTTCTCCGGCTACGCTTGCAGTCTGTGCAGATTATCGTGAAGGGATCTCTGACCGTTCGGACCCTTGATGACTTGCCAGAGCTTAAGGTCGTCGACAAACATTATTTTGCCGCAGTCGAGTTCCTGAAGGCTGTCCTTAACATACAGGATGAAGGGCAATGGTCCCAGAACTGGGCCTTGAGGCACACCACTGGTCACATTCACCCATTGTGATATATCGACACCGATACAAACACATTGTTTCCGACCAACCAGAAATGCCCTAATCTAGTTCAGAAGATCTCCCCAGAATTACACTCCATATCTTCCTGTCGTCGGCAAACATTGCTGCTTCGCACTTTCGCAATCGTCAACGTATATAAGGAACAAAATGGGTCCCAGTACTAAAACCTGGGTGACATCAACCTCGACCACAGCAGGTTCAGCTTTTTTTGACGGACGCACACAACCTGCTGTCAACCCACAAGGAAGTTTTCGACCCATCTAAAGAAATTGCCTCTAATCCCTGTTTTTTGGTTTTGTAACAGCCGCTGGCGACGCACAATGTCAAACGCCTTCTGGAAGTTCATGAAAGCTATGTGGACGGCGTGCCCGCCGTCGAGAGCACAGACAAAGCTCCGGAGAGATTGCAGCAGGTTTGGCGTGTAGGATTTTCGTTCCCCAAACCCATGTTAGCAGTTCGATGGCAAGTCGTGACTTCCAGCAATTTCGCCAATTCACTCCTCATGATCCTCTCCATAACTTTGCATAGAATGCCTGTCAAGCTTATGCGCCTGTAAATTGTCGTCGTTGCCCTGCTACCTCCTCTGTATAGCGGAGTAATATGCGCCAGCTTCCAATCGATAGGAAGCGTTTCAGTGTCAAATGACGTTTGAAAGAACATTGACAAAGGCACAAAAAGCTCACTGGAAAGTTCCTTGAGAAACTTGGGTGGAATCTCGTCGGGCGCTGGCGACTTCGATTCGTTCAATGCCTCTAATTCTCTTCGGACAATGCCTTCTGAGAAGAGTATATCACTGACGCATGCGGCCGGCAGTTCTTCTGTGGAGGGAGGAAGGAACCTTGTCGCGTTTGTGTAAACTGATTGGAAGAACTGGGAAAAATACGCAGCTTTAACCCTACTATCAGCAATCTGAACGCCATCAGTAGTCCTTACTAATGGGATTTGATGCCTGTTTCTTGTACTTTGTCGAAGGTAATTGTAGAGTAATTTTGGGTTCTGAGGTCCCAACTCAGCCCACGCAGTCCGCCGAGTAGTGTGTATGTTTGTATGGACTGGCGGACTAGTGGGCTGAGAGCCAGGCTGTCACGTCCCTTTCTCAAGCGATCTGTGACACGCTCTTCAGTCTGAGAAGAGTGTTTGTGTTTATGTGTGTGCTTTATGGGTAGTGCCTCTCAGTCGACGACTGTTTGGTTATCCAACCTTTAAGGGTGCAGGAACCCGTTTCGTCCTTATAGATCAAAAGATCTGAAAGCATGTGCTATGCCAGTATCAGCAAACCATGGCCCTCGCAGCCTGGTATGCGCATGCAGTTCTCTGACGTTTGGTTCCCCGCCGACAAATGCGCTTGCGCTTCCGCTGGGTAAACAGGTGGTGGGCATGGCAGCCCAATCATCCCCGTTCTTCTGGCCCCCTGTTGGAGTGTTGTTGTTGGTGAAAAACCTTGGTGAAGTGTATGTTGCAGACCAGGGGGTGTGATGGCACGCCTACGTTAGCGTCCGGCCGTGCCAGCCACCTGCGCCCTCGTCCGCCTCCGATCTTCTTGACTCTGTTTTGACTCCGGGTCAGGTTAGGAGTGAAGAGAGGGCGCGGTAGATGCTGCGCATGTCTACTGCCAATAAAAGTTAATTCACGCACACGTCACCGTGCCTGTTGCACCTTGCTGTGTAGCACAGGGTCGCCGTCGTCGAAATCGACGGTTGAACTGTCGTGTGTGTACAGAGTCTGAGTAACAACGGAACATGCCTGTATAAGAAGCTCGTCCAGGACTTTCGATTTTCAATTCCTTGTTTCTGGTCAAGTATGCAGAAACGTTGACCCTTTATGCTGGCATATATTCGGCGAGATATGGCAAGATGTCGCCTGCGAACTCCTATTTTCACAAAAATGCTTTTTCGACTGGGAAAATTACTTAAATGGGTTTGTACGATCAGTTACTTTGCGGCATAATCCCGCGGTAAAGCAGACACTTTGGGATGATGGCTTTTGAATACAATTATCTCCGGTCACCCTCGAAAACCTCACCCAGCGAAAAATGGCTACTTAAGTAGCAAACCTTTTCTTTATTGATATTGATGGCTTTGTGAGGTCAAATACGTTTTACGGGTAGCCCACAAAAAATACTATTTTATGTACTATTCTGGTAGCAAATCGTATCTTCATAAAATTTTATGTCCAAGGAAAGCATATTTTTGTTTTATTTTTTTCTGATTTTCGAATAACTCTGAACTCGAGCTGCCGTTTCAGTTTCGTTAAGTTGGGTCTAAATCCTCGAGATATACACTTTCCATGTAAGGAAAACATGCATTTTTATGTATTAAGAAAGTGCAACATGAAGGTCGTTAAGCGTTGCAACAAGTATGGACCATGATGTATATTCAAGGAGGAGCATTGCTAGACAGACAGACACGACACTTTTCGAATGGAGATTACATGGTCTTAGAAATGTGATAATGAGAAACTTTTTTTAAATTCTGAAGTACATTCTTTCTTCGAGTGAAAAATTTAAAGAAGTTATGATTTTCTACCAAATGGGTGTAAGAAATATTAGTTCTGTTTACTGATAGAAGCGAACATGCGAGTTCTAGGTTGCTGTTCAGAAGACGAAGATGGCAATGAAGAACTCAGGTGCAATATCGCCAATCGACCGACGAATGGGGAAAGTACAAGAAACGGTCCTATCCCGAGTCTACGGTCTCCCAAAAGTTAACAAAGAGGGCGTTCCTCTCCGACCTATCGTATCACTAAAGGGCACTCCAACCTATGGACTGGCAAAGTGGCTGTTCAAACGTCTCAAGTTTCTGACCTCCGATCCGAACACCACAGTCAGCTCGTCCTCGCAATTCTTGGATAAACTTAAAGGAGTAAGTCAACTGCCAAGCGATATCATGGTTTCCTTTGATGTCACGTCCCATTTTACGTCTATCCCGCAGGACCTGGCAGTCGAAACCATCGAACTACTCCTACGAGAGAAATACGACGAAACGGAGAATCGCCTCGGACTCGCCCAAATTATTGAGCTCCTGAAGTTCTGTCTTAAGACGTACTTTAAGTTCGACGGAACAATCTACGAGCAGGTGAAGGGAACGCCAATGGGTTCGCCGATTTCGGGATTCATAGCCGAGGCGGTCCTACAACGGCTGAATTCGCTGGTTTTCCGACATCACAGACCGAAATTCTGGGCTCCGTAGTTGCATGACACCTTCGTCGTCATCGAACGGGATCAGGTGCTGACATTCAAAGAACATCACAACGTCGTCTTCCCGGACATTCAATTTACGATGGAGGAGGAGGAAAACAATCAGCTGGCCCTCCTGGATGCCCTCGTCTGCCGCAAAGATTGTGGTGAACTAAAAACCAAAGTGTTCAGGAAAGCGACAAATACGGTACAAAAACTGAACTTCGATAGCAATCACTCGATCAGTCACAAGCGCAGTTACGTAAGGGCGCTATACTGGTGCGTTGAGACGCATTGCAGTGAAATGGAAGACAAGGTTGCTGAATTTCAATATCTTCGACGGGTAATGAGGGCCAATGGTTATCCGCGCAACTTTGCCAACCAGTGCATACGAAAGCGACACCAGGGACCAAATCCAACCGGTCCCAAATGTTGGCGGGCTCTTCCGTACGTACAGAAAGTCTCGGAAGCCGCCAGTCGTCTACTCACTCGACTTGGAGTTGGGGTTGCACAAAACCCGAAGCAACTATTAGGAGCCAAGTCACGGCAGGAAACGTCTGGAGTCGTTTACCGGAACTGGTGTAGTTGCGGACAAAGCAACTTTATTGGAGATACTGGAAGGTAACTGCGTACGCGAATTGCCGAGCATGCAACAGCAGTGAGGCGGGGAGACGCTAACTCTCAGGTGGCGGCTCATTCGACGGGAACCGGCCATAATTTCGAGCGAGCCGTGAGCTGCTCGAGTCATGGTTCTGAGGCCCAAAATCCATCAACAAGCACAATGACCTCCCGGTGCCATATTCCATGCTTAGATTTTCCCTGGGCAGGGGAATCGGTCACGTGGGGAGGGCGCGGACGAGCAATTGTCGCAGTGACAGTGAGCCAATTTGCCGAGCAATCGTCACACCAGCATCTAGCACGGATGACGAAATCACGGCAATTAACGACTCGGACTCGGACTGACACGCCACCACCGCATCAATTACGACCCCAGCGGTGATTGCGAGAGCTGTTAATTACAGCGCGCCTATGGCCCCACGGCAGCCACGTGCTATAAATACTGCACTCCTTGTGCCACCATCATCTTTGTCTGCGAATTTCTCTGATGATGGATTCGATTAAGAATCCGAAGCGTCAGGCCATAAATGTCCTGTTCCAGTGACCGCATCTTTGTCTTCCCAGTTCTGTTTACATTTTCGTAAAGTATTTTTGAAACCAGACAGATAAACGAATTGTTCCAAATGTTAAAAACATTATAGTTAATAGATGTGCTGTACATTAGTCTGCCTATAGATAATTGGTGCTATCTCAGTTTCTGAGGGAGACGAATTGAATGCCAGCACTGACATTCAACAGACATGGGACAATACTAAAAAACAAACGGTACTGAAATACAGGCAGTAATATAATAACATTAATAAACTGTTCGAACGGAATGCTAACACGATGTGGGTCAGGTGACGTTATGACGTTTAGTGGTACACTGGTCCAACTTGCGCTTAAAAGCCTCGGCGGAGGTGGACATGACGACATCTGCAGGCAGAGCATTCCAAGCATCGATCACTCTGTTTGAAAAGAAGAACTCCCGAATGTCCAGCCTGGCGCGAGTCACAAGTAGTTTAAGTGGGTGAGCTCGGAGGTTCGTTGTGGTTGCTAACTTACAGAAATCAGCAGGTCAGAGACAGCAGTCCTGGCCGCGCATCATACGGAATGTTTGTATAAGGTCGCCACTTAGTTGTCTGTAACTCAGTGGAAAATGGCCGAGATTGGATAGTCGTGTTTCATAGGGTAGTGAACTCTGTCCACTTACGAGCTTAATTGTCCGCCTTTGAACTTTCTCAAGGATGCAGAGATCTTTAGAGGTCCATAGTTTCCACGCCTGAATAGCGAACCCCAGCTGTGGCCGTACAAATGTCCGAAAGACTTTAACGAAGCAGTCCTCATCGAAAGTAGAGAAAGCTGCCTTGACGAGATAAAGGATTGGCTTTGCAGACTTGGCTACCTTGGAGCAGTGGAGCGACGGTTTTAGAGAAGCCGTTATCCACACACCCAAGTCTTTCTGGACTTCTACCTCCTGCAATAGTATGCTGTTTAAATTGCAAACTCTCCGGCTCAGAGATCGGGTCGTGCCAATTCGCAAGACATTGCACTTAGTCCCATTAAACAGAAAGTGCCAGTCCTGTGACCATTTCTCGAGTCGGGTCAGGTCTGCCTGGAAGCGCTCTTCGTCAAATTCTGTACGGACGACGCTCCAAAGTTTAACATCATCAGCGAACATGGCGACATCAAAATTCAGTTCACTGACGCAGTCGATGATGTATATAATGAATAGGGTGGGGTCAAGGACGGAGCCTTGAGGAACACCGGTTTCAATCGCTATCTACGCCGATTGCCTGTCACCGACGTGGGCGATTTGAGAGCGACTGATCTAAAAGCTTTGTATCCACCTCAGGAGGTTCTTCCTAATGCCTGTTTGACTTAATTTGTAAGGAAAAGCTGATGTGTTACACTGTCGAATGCCTTTTTAAAGTTGACGTAGTCGGCGTGCACTGCATTGCCGCCATCGACTGCTCGGGTCCAGCCATCTAAACAACGAAATCCGTGCTGGGCATCGCATAGCAGATTATGCTGTTTTAAGAAGCGCATTATTTCTTGCTTTATTATTTTATTCATAATTTTGCAGCAAATGGAAGTGAAGCTGATTGGTCTCTACTTGTTTGCTCAGACCTTGCTGCCGCCTTTAAAATTGGCGTGATCCGTGCAGACTTCCAATCGGCGGGCAAATAATCTGCTTCGAACGAAGCTTGGAAGAGCATGGACAGCGGCTTAGATAGTTATCCAGCAAGCTCCTTCAACAATTTGGGCGGTATGTCATCCGGCCAGGCTGATTTAGACACATTCAGCGTCAACAGTTCTTTGCGACCAATAGCTTCGGAGAAGGAGACATACTCAACGATTGGCCCGTCCACTATGTCGCAGTCGGGATGAAAAAATGCGCTTTCCTTCGTAAAGAGACACTTAAAAATTGCGAAGGATGCTCTTCCTTTTCTCCGTCTTCACTGAGTTCTAGGTCCTCACTAGCTTTCAATAACGGGACTGGGTTTCTGTTTCGTGTGCTTCTTCTTATTCAACCATAGAATGACTTCGGATTTTCTGGGGCTCGATTCAGTAGGTCTTTCTCGAAAGTACGCCCCGTTCCGAGGATTAGCCTCTTTAAAAATTTTCGAAGTAGTTGTTCGACATCACGGGACTATCCAGACTCCTGCATATTGCGGATGTCAAATTTGTCATCTTCATCGTAGGGGGTCCCACATGAGTCACACCGTGTCCAACTTTATGTTTGAGGAAGAGGTTAAAATCTGTCCAGCAATAGAAGGACTGGATGGTGTGCTGCAGTCGCAGGACAAAGTGACTGTTTGCGCGCAGTTCCTATGGAGACAGACTCAGGTGGACGTGAGCATAAGCTGGCTGAGACTAAAGTCCAATGAAAAATTACAAAAATTAAATTTTCCCAAATGTCGATTTCTTTGGTTATACCTCAGCAGAAAACAACGTTCTTTGGAGCTCGTCGCCACGTAGGAATTAATCAATTCTACAAAATATCAATGCATCTTGCCAGGATGCAAACAAGGCTACGTCTGTCCTGAGCTAGGACTTCTAGATGACATTCAGGTGGTCGCCATTGTAACTCCTTTTGAATGCTCGGAATTCTTTTAAATGCCTTGTTAGTACCGGAACCAACAAACCAATTGAGCACTTCCCAGACATGGGCCTTTAAAACCTACCTATTATCAATATTATTGGGTTTTAAGTGAGGGGGGGTTTCTTAAAGTTAATAGGGTAAATGTTGGATAATAACAATCTTTAATGACAATATGACCTTAGTAATGTCAAGCTACAAATACCTACCGAATGTATGGCTTCGGATGAAGGGGATCACCAAAGCAGGTAGTTTATCCAATAGGTCGCACAAACCACACTATTATCAAGCTAAGATCACACGCTTCACGCTTCAGACAGATCCCGACAGGATTACAGTTCGGACTGTCCGAAATATCTTAAGCAGCGCGGTGTAGTTATTAAAAGGTGATTATGACTAGCTTGCGGAGGACAGGACGAAGAAGCTTGGCAACATAATAATATATTCAACCTGTGCTTGCAGTGAATGTGTTTTAGATTTAACTCACAGAAAACCGGTCCCACCGACTCATGATGGATTTCTTGGCAAAAAAATCTGAAACACATACCTTGGTGGGGTATCTTTGCTTCATGACGCAACCATATGAAGTTTCGCTTTTATGCTGCGGCCATGACGCAGTCCGGAACGTCCCTCATTTTCTATTTTTAATACAGTCGATAAATAATGCCATAAACACTTTTGGAGTGCAAATAACGTAGGTGCCTTCCTCGTAGAAACAAGCATACAGGCAAACTACTCCGGGTTATTTGGCTTCAAGGAGCAGGGGAGGACTAGAATGGCCGCTTGACGCATGTCGAAGCCTCAACTGTTGGCGCTGTAGTTTGACACCGTCCGCACCCTTCGAAACATCGTGGCCAACGCCTGAGACTTCAAAAAGTTCATTTTAGCCCTCCAAAACAAATAACGAAAAGTTGTTTGCCTTGCTTAATTTTCGAGGAAACTAATGCTCAAACTTGGAGAAAATCTTTCGAAACCGACCTTTTCAGGCACAGCCCAAAGTTTGATATAAATATTTGAGCTGAAATCCATCAGCTACTGCAGAATAACCGCCTAATATTCACAAACCGCCAACAGACAGCCAGTAATATAGTATTGTGTGATGATTTACCGTACTAACGACACAGGTATTAACTAAAAGCCCAGACACGCGTGTTTCGCCGATCTTATGCCGCTGCCTGGCGCTGTCGTTTGACACCGTCCGCACCCTTCGAAACGTCGTGACCAACGCCTGAGAATTCAAAAAGTTCATTCTAGCCCTCCAACAACAAATAACAGAACGTAGTTTGTTTGTACGATTGTTTCTACAACCAACA